AAATAAGCAAAATGTTGAGAGATGGGGCAATATGACTCTCTAGTCACCAGTTGCTGGACTTTCCCCTGATGTTTGTTCAGCATTCCATCACCCTGTGCCAGCAGCAGATGTTTTGAATGTTTCACAAATGCCTTGATGAAGCTACCTGACGACTGAAGCTACTTGCTGCAGTCACAGCTGCTTCTGGCAGCTTGCACTAAAGTTTCCCTCAAACATTTTCATCCATGCCCAAGGGATGCATTCCATCCAAGCCCTAATTGAGGGGCTTTACAACCTGGACAATGTCATGAATGGTGTAAAAACAGTACTTTATAATCAGGTCTGCTGGGATCGGTGCAAATATCCCTTGGTTGGATAATCAGGTTGCTCCTTCACTTTGTGATCCTGCTAGGAGAATTCTTCCTGTGTTGTCTCCCCTGGTATGGCAATATTAGGCTCAATAAAAGGCCTCCCTTAAGTGACCATATCTTCTCAGTTTTGATGTCTATTATTAGTTGCATGGGCTGAGCTGATATCATGAAAAAAGAAGAGGTAATGGTGGTGACAGAGGAACAGCCACAGACACTAAAGCAATTGGCAGTTTGTCTACAGTAGAGGTGGAGCCAGATAGTGTGCAGCTTTGATCGCTGCAGAAGGGCTGAGATGCAGGAGCTAAAAGCAGCTTTATGGTGCAGGAGGGTGCTGGCACCACAGTAGAGGCAGCAGGAGCCAGCTGCAACAGTAGTAGAAACAGTAGCTAGAGTGTGGACAAAAAGGTGAACTATAACCCTAACTATTGTCAAGGGCCTCAGAGTCCTAACCTCCCAGGGCTCCACACAAGCTGGAGCAGTCATTATTGTAGGACTAAAGAAACCCTCCCACCTTCACCCCTATTCCGTACCTAGGGCATGGCCTCTTACAGATCCTCCCAGCTGCCTACTGCTGCTAACTGCTACCAAGCTGGAGGGTACACAGACTGTCAAAGATCAGCAAGAGAAGAGTGTCCCTGCACCACCCACCTGTCCAGGCAGAGCAACTGAACCTGCTGATTCTGAAAGAGCGGCTTGGGAAAGCCCACAGTTAACACTCAAACTTGGTGCTCACTGGGTCTCCTTCATCTACTGTGACAGGAAACAAAGCAAGCAACAGTGAGAGTTTATACAGCACCTCTTTTTCCTCTTAGCTCTTTCATATCAGTGTGTACTCTGAGTGGCCAAAACAATCTTGAGTAAAAAGACAAAATCAGAGGCATCAAATCCCCATATTACTTAGATATTATAATCAAAACTGCTGGTATAAGCATGAAAAATGTCACACTGACTAATATAACACAAAGGCAAGCCCAGAAGTAATGCAGTCCTTCAAAAATTATTATAATAGAGAATAAAAATGGCTTAAAAATAACTATGTGGAGAAAATGACAATGGCAATGGTAATTATTTGAAATGCCAAAGTATTTTGTTCTTTTTGATTTTTCTTTAAATATGTTTGATTTTTTGGCTGTTAGTAAGGGACCATATATCTCCTGATGATTTTCTTGTTGGCTTATTAAATGATTTTTTTTTTCATGAAGCATAGGTTTAAAAGAGTGGGCAGAGTAAGTCTGTTGTATACATAACCTGAGAAAATCAATATTTTCCTTAAAATTTAAATCTTCATGTTAATTCTCTCACTAATTACTCAGCACCATTTTCCTCCTGGCTAATGGAAGCCTTCCTGGTGTGAATGAGAAATAGCTACTGATGAATTACTTGTCTTCTGGTTGGTATGCAATGGAGCCTCTGATCTAGGCCCCCAATAGTTTAGTAGACAAATCACTTGGAAAAAAAAAGTGCTTTTTAAAAACTATTCAGAAGCTAAGTACTAGAAAAATAAAAATAGTTCATTTTCGTACTGTAATCTGTGCTATATACTGGAAAGCACACAGAAAGTTTTCATCCACAAGTAAAAATTTCAGTGGCACTGAGATTAATCAACTTACAGGAAAAGGATAGTGAGAAATGGAGTTGGGAAAACACAGAAGCTCAGTACTAAAAAATAAAATAAAATGAAATCACTAAGAAAAACTCAAATTCAAGGAGTGAAAGTAGAAAAGCAAAAATCTTTCTCAATGTTTTCTCTTAAAAGTTGATATAGGAAGCTGTTGGGTTTCTCCTGTTAGAAGGACAAATAAAATAAACTTAAAACCCTGAAAGTCTTGATCAGAAAAAAATCATTTAAACAAATAGATCTAATGGAAAAGTTTTGCCTAAGTCGGCAAAGGTAAGCTAAGTTTGTTAGTTAATAGGTCTTATGTAAAAATCAATATACACTACCATTTAACTAAAAAGCTCTTATTGTGAGGAACATGAAGATTTTACTCTGCCTGGGTTTCAATTTGGGTTTTCTTTTTATTTTGAAGGCAATAAATTAGCAGTTTTAGCAGAAACCATTTTGCTATTTTATGAAAACACAATTTTACAGATATTTCAAAACAGCTAAAATGCATTCTAAGACTTCTGACTTGACTAATTATGCATGCCTAAATAAATGAGTCTGTTAGCACCCTCAATACTTAACCCAACAACACCATCCTCATTATGTCAGTTTGCCACAGTGTTAGCCCAGGAGGAAATTACACACCAGATTGTTGGCCATGCAAATTTGAACCAATGAAAAAATATCAAATATTAAAAATTCTGAAGTTGACTCACTTTGATGGGCCCATCTTTACAAGAAAAACATTAAATTTGTGTACATCTTCAGAAAGAGTCGTACCAGTAGAAGGATGGAGCATCTGGGCCTCTTCTGTAAGAACAGTGAGGAAGGAAATCAAGTCTGTTTATCAGACAGTCATTGTAAACTAAGGGAGTAGAATCTATGGCCCTCATGTTATCTTAGACATATGTCAAATGACACCAAATTCTCATTCCTGATACCATTATGTTTATTTATTTGATACGAAATAAAATGATTTCACTGGACAATATCTCTTCATGCACACAGAATTCCCATTGAAGTGAAGAGCCCTTCTGTTTACCATTGAAGTTTAACATCATTCTGCTTATCATAATGGAGTCGATGGGAGCTCTGTGCATCCAGGAAGGAGGCAGCCAGAAAATCAAGCCCTAAATATTAAAAATCTGGAGAAAAGCCAAAGATGAACTGGCATGAAAATGAAATTACTGTCTTGCCTTTACAGCTGGTCTCTTCAAATAGAATGGGAGACTTCCAGAAGGTGCATTGCAAAAAGTAAATAAGTAAATAAATAAATGAATAAATAAATAAATAAATAAATAAATAAATAAATAAATAAATAAATAAATAAATAAATAAATAAATAAATGGTACCACTGGGCAAGCGGAAGATGGGAGCTGCACTGCACAGCTGTCATTTTGCTGCTGGGGCCAGAGGACCAATTTTATCAACCATTTATGAAATTAGTTAATGTATGGGAAAAATAAAGAAATAAAGTGAGCTAAAGTTATGGAACTAAAAACGTGCATCTTGTGAAAAAAGGGGTAAGTTCAGTAATGCAAAAGGAAATGGGCTAGAGAGATGATCTTAGCCACATTACATCACGAGGTTCCTTCAACCCACCCACACCCACCACAAACACTCGTTTTTCTGAAGGGCAAGATTGTCTCAAGGTCTTATCGGTACTAACTGCATTATCAAGGTATAGAGAATACAATCAGATCTCTCCCCTTCATAATGTAGATGTTGTCTTTTTAAAGCAAGCTTGATTATATTCTGAATAGGTCAGTCTGTGTGCCTGACATTTCTCTTCAGTTTCCTGTGACCTTTTAATAAGAATGACTTGGTTTTGCACTGCAGAAAATGGAACTGTCCCTTTTCAATCAGTGACTATGAAGAGCACAGTTTGAACATATCTCATTTTCTGTAGCAATTTATTATACACACAAAAACAAAGTCAATGGAACTCTTCCTCAAAAAACATGGGTCCTATTTGGCTTTAATTTTAACTCATTCTGCTGCTCACTCACCTACATTTTGTAAATATTTAACCAAATGTGCAGTCACATTTGCTCAGAAAAGTAACAAATTAATATGGTATCTGGAAGCAAATCTGACTTTTATAATGTATGCTTAAACAGATGTCATCATTGAATAGGATTGTAGAGAATTATTAACATGTACCTCCTGTGGTTATAGCAGTTATCAACAGCAATCCAGTTCGTGAAATGCAGAAATATGTCTCTCTATTAGGCTTCAGTGACAAAGCATTCAACTATGCAGATTACCAGTGTTCAGATAAACATGATGGCCTCGTGCCCCTGTGAAGTGCGTTAGGGGCTAGCATACAGGTCTGGAATACTTACAACTGGAGCCTATCAAGAACCACCCTAGAGATATAAGGCCACTTCCTTAGGTGAGTGTGGTGGTATTGTGTTCCCCAAAATATTGTGCACCCTAATAAACTTATCTGGGGTCAGAGACAGGACAGCCACTAGATACAAAGGCTAGAAAATGTGGCACTCACACCTTTAATCCTAGCACTCCAGAGGTAGAAATCCCTCTGGATCTCTGGGAGTTCAAGGCCACATGAGAAACATCCAGGCATGGTTACACATGCCTTTAATCCCAGAAAATGAGCCTTTAATCCCAGGGAGTGGTGGTAGAAAGCAGAAAGGTATATAAGGCATGAGGACCAGGAACTAGAAGCATTTGGCTGGTTAAGCTTTCAGACTTCTAGCAGTACAGTTCAGCTGAGAGCCATTCGGATATGAGGACACAGGGGCTTCCAGTCTGAGGAAACAAGATCAGCTGAGAAGTTGGCCAGGTGAGGTTAGCTGTGGCTGGTTCTGGTTCTCTGATCTTCCAGTTCACCCCAATACCTGGCTCAGGTTTATTTTGTTAATAAAGACTCTTTAAGATTCATGCTACAGGTGAGTCCACTTGTGCTAGAAGAGCATGAGTGCAGATGTTAAGCCCACAATGGACCTTGGTTTCCTAATGTACAGAGTGACTAATTAAGCACAGGGATGACACTCACCTGGAGTGGCCTTAGCAGAGAACAGTGGTCTTAAAGTCTTCTCTGGGACACTGAAACATAAGGTCAACATATATATATATATATATATATATATATATATATATATATATATATATATATATATATATTGAGGATTTAGGTTAGTAAGACATTATATGTTAGGCTCTTAATTGTGGACCCAACCACCCTCATGAATGGCCCTGTCCCTTTGGATATGAGATGAGAGGTTAGCCAGAAAGATGAGGTTCTCCCTAGAACATAATCATAAATCCAGATACATAAGACACAAATAATAACTGGAATGCCCTAGTAGAGAACATGATCTAGATCAGGAATCAGCTAACTTCTCTCATAAATCCCATGAAACCAAGCACATGAGGTCTAGTGACTGCAATTGATTGTTGCTGCAGTGTGTGTGTGTGTGTGTGTGTGTGTGTGTGTGTGTGTGTGTGTGAATTCAGACAAACATATGCTATTTGTGATAGGTCAAAGGACAGCCTTGGGTATTGATCTTGCCTTTCATCCTGTTTCCTGTTTGAGACAGGAACTCTGTTGTTTCTGTGCTGTGTGTGCCATGCTAGCTGACCCCCAAGCTTCTGTACGTAATCCTGTCTCTACTTCCCCTCTCTCATACAAGAACTTGGAGACCACACTCATGCTGCATGCCAGGCTTTTTCATGGATACTGAGCATTCAAACTCAGGGCCTCATGCTCGCACAGCAAGTACCTTTACCCATGAAGCTATCTCCTCAGCCCCGCATTTTACAGATTCCTTTAAAAGCTCTTAAGAGAATAAGACAAAGGTCTAAACCAGCCTTGCGGGTCATAGTTTCTCAAGACTTTGATGGGCAAAGAAGAAGTAGAAGCAGAAAACAATTACTCCCCAAGACTCAAGTTGGAAAGTCAAGTACAGAGAGGAGGCAGAAGTGTCCTATGAGGAGAGAGGGGCAACCATTTGAAGGCAGAAAAAAACTATTAGAGACCTTTGAGCATGGGAGAATAAATCATCCAGTTTTTTACTTAAAAGGCTATTTTCCTCCTATGGAGAAAATTAGCAGGAGTTGTGCCCAGAACCTGCTGAGAAGGAATCAAGGGACAGTAATGGGCAAGAGTGTGGAGTGTGAGATGAGAGACAGGAGAGAGCTGTCCCTTTGCCAGGTGCTGTCATCTCTGCCAGTGTACGTAGCTCAACCACAGTCTACCTTGTGCTCTTGTGCCTCCACGGCTCTTCTGTTGGCCAAATGCATCTATGAACTCAGTGGGAGTTCATGAATCACCTTTTCTAGTGTCTCTTTTCAAGCCTTCATATTTGGACAGGTTCAAGTGTCGACATAGAAGTACTTGCCTGGCTATCCATGTCAAACAATTTAGGGCAGGTTGATACGCTCCTGTCCCCCATGCCTCTTCTTCTGGAAAGGGGAATCAACTTGATTATACAGGCCTGACAGAGGGGAAGCAGAAATCAAAGTTTCACCGTCTCTAGGATGTGACTCACCATCTGTCCTCATACATTTCATGCCAAGCCTAGAGGACTCAGTGAGCATCTGCCAATGTTGCCCCTCCTACAAAAGTGAGCTTAAACCTCACCTTTTCCATGAAGCCTTTCCAGATGGAAAAGAGCCCTGACCTGTTCTGATAGATACAATGGCCATAGATACACACCTGGCTTTCAATCTCCAATGAGGTCAGTTCTCATCTCCCATTTCACATCTCAGCCACGGACATTCACGTAGCACAGGCTGATGCCAGTGCTGGGGTGCTGCTTTCAAAGGGTCTGTCCAATGTGATACTCAGCAATCATCCTTATGAAAAACATCCCCAAGTACAATCTGTTGCAATAAATTCAAATAGGGACACCGCAAAGTACTTCCCCTGCTTGCTTATTAAAGGCTTAGGAAATCCCCACTGCTTCTTTAGGTTAAGCCAGCAAGATTCACAGCTTCTTGTACAGAACACCATTCCCTTTAAAGGCTTTACTAAGTGAACAAGAGTAGTTAGGTGTGGCCAAGAGTCTCTGTGGGCGTCCTGCACTGTAACTTTCTCCTTTGGAAGAGAAAAAAGCAGATTAGCACATTCAAGACTCCAAACTTGTTAAAGGGCACTTGGCTGCTTCCATGTTTCCTTGATGCAAGGTTTGTTTTTCTTGTACAAACTAGTTCCTCAGAGCACTGTGAAAAGGGCAGTGGGAGAGCCAGGTGCTGCCCACAGTAGGGCTTGTGTGCATCAGGATGCTTATGGGAGAAAACATTCATTATTAGATGTGACACACCTGTAGCAACTCTGAGTTATATTATTTCCTCAAATTAAAAAAATAAAAGGCATTTTTGGATTGAGAATGGAGAAAGAAAAGTAAGTGGCCTTCCTTAGGAAGAACCAACAAGTAGAGATGGTTTGAAAGAGCCTCATTCTTGTTCAGCCAACAGAATCTAGAGGAGGACAAAGGGTCACTAACCAGAAAGAGAATGACCACCTCCACATGAGGATATCTCTTGTCCCTAGGTGTTCTCGGACTGCCAGTGGGCTGCACACCACAAGGGCAAGGCGAGCTCAGGACAGATTCTGCATCTCGGAGTGAGGTCTGGGGACCTTTACCTCATGCAGGTTGGTTCAACATCCTGGCCTCTTTCCTAGCTGTGTAATTTGTCTTGTATGCTGTTTTCTTCAGCTATGAAATGGGACTGATACCGATATGTGAGTGTTAATGGTATAAAATAAGGGCTGCCGAGAGTGCTCAGTGGTTAGGATCCCGTGCTGGTCTTCTACAAGACTATAGTTTAGTTCCTAGCTCACTACTTTCTTTCCTCCATTCCCAACTCCAAGTTACCTTTTTTGTTCAAGTAGCTAATTGGATGTGGAGTTGAATGCCTATAGATTACATGTCAGACAGTTCACAGCTGCCTATAACTCCAGCTCCAGGGGACCCGATGCCCATTTTGACCTTTACATGTACCTGCAGACACACACAAGCACACACATGCACACTCACATGCACATATATAAGAATAAAAGTGTAAAATAATCTGAATTTCTTCCTTTCTTTCTTTCTTTCTTTCTTTTTTTTTTTTTTTTTTTGGTTTTTCGAGACAGGGTTTCTCTGTGTAGCTTTGTGCCTTTCCTGGATCTCACTCTGTAGAACAGGCTGGCCTCAAACTCACAGAGATCCGCCTGCCTCTGCCTCCTGAGTGCTGGAATTAAAGGCGTGCGCCACCACCGCCCGGCTGATTTTCTTAAGTAATTATTGATTGTAGCAAATAAACCTGTGCAAATGGACCATATAAAAAACTTAGAAAATGGTTTCCAAGATATCCTCAAATTTATCCTAAATCATCCCTTTTCATCTCAGAGTCACAACTTCACAAGTGCAAACTTGTTATTATTATTGCTGTTGTTGTTTTTATCATTTGCAATGCTGGGGAACAGAATCCAGGGTCTTGTGTATACTACATAAGCATTTTACCACAGACCTACACCCCAGCCTCATGCATATTTAAAGCAAGTATCTGCCTCCCTCAATCATATCTTAATCAAGGCATACATTTTTTGGTGTGTCTTATTTTCCTAAAACAGAACGGTATCTGTCACAAAGTTCTTCAGAGTTAAGGACAAATTCTGCTGCAATTAAAGAAGATAAACTCTGACCAAAGGGCACGTAGATGAGCACTGACTTAACTTCAAAATACTCTATGCAGTTTCTCAACACAAAGTCTAGCTTTGAAGATGAAATATCCCCCACAGGTTCATGTTTGAATACTTAGTCCCAAGCTTGCTACCTCGAGAGATCCTGAGAAACTTCAGGATATAAGCTTCCCTGCGGGAAGGTGTACAGGAATGTGTTTGAAGTTATACTGGGTAGCTGGACCTGTCCTGGCCCTGTCCACTGCATGATCCTGCCACCGTGATTCTCTGATCACGTACAAAGAGCTAGCAATCCATGACCCACCCCTCTGGAACTGTCAGCCAAGAGAAACCCTTTCTTTCCTTAGAAATTTACACCAAGCACTTGGTCACAGCAACATGAAAGTAATGGGCCCACAGTTTTTCCCTTACACATCTCCCCTGTTCACTTTTGTTTTCCCTTTGTATACTTATTGCTTCAGGAAGATGGGGAATTTTAGGCTAGGGGTTTGGGTTTTTTTGTTTGTTTTGTATTTTGTTTTTATCAAGTTGGATATGAGAGAAATTCAGCCCATTTGTGCAATGAAGGGAGACAGTGCCTGATGGGCAGTCATCAGAATTGTACAGCTTCCCAAAACACTCAAGAGAATCAGCTGTGCTTACAGTCTCTAATTCTCACGGTGAAATGTTTTTGGCCCAGATAACACAGTATTTGCTACACAAAAGCAAATCAAAACACATCTACCCATGTAAACGCCACTAAAAGAAGCAAATCCTGTGGAGGTGTTTTGTTCATATGTCTAACTCTAGGCAGCCTAAACTGAAAAGAATCTCATTATCTCAGAGTACCATATGTGTATGTGCATATAAGTAGAAGGAAAGGGAAAACAAACTCAAAATATGGCCTCAGCTAGTAGGACTGTACGAGCCAGTCTCTGCTCCCTAATTGGAATATTACATACCAGCTCTAATGCTTATGGCAGGACTACACAAGACTTGAGAGCACCTACTTAGGTTTTCTGCCCACAGTTGATATTAATAAAAGGTAATAACAAGGACTGCTGGAGCATGCCTGTACTCTGCACTTTGGAAGCTAGGCTGGGGTGAACCTGTCTTAGAAAGAATTTTTAAAATGGAGTTGCCAAAGTTACTGTACAGATTAAATATTTCTTGTTATTCTATTAGGTTAACTATAGACACATGAGGTAACTACAGATACCACTAATGTAGAATGTATGTTTTAAAGTTTGTAAAGAGTTTGTATGTTTTTGTCACAAAGAAATATAGAGACAAATGGCTGGAAAGACCACTGGTTTCCCTTTGCTTAACACATGTAAACATTTTTGCTATTGAATGGTGTTACATAAATTATGGTTTTCATTTATCAATTTTAACAATTCAAAAGAAGATAGAAATCAGTGTTGTCACTGTTTAA